CAGATCTGAGATTATGTCCGGCCTCCTCGACTAATGACAAGCCTGAAAACAGTTGGTGGAGTATGGTGTTACGCTGCTTTTAGCAATATTCCAGCAATATCACGGCGGGGACACCAGAAATGGGCTTCACACATTGTACCCCCGTGGCGAATCGAACCCGGGTCTTCAGCGTATCGTGACAAGCGGACGCTTTAACCATTAGGCTACCCCACCGCCCCCGTTTACAGTTGAAAAATACAACCGAGCACAATAATACTTAGTGATTGATATATGGTACAGTGCTTATCTAATTATAAATGTGGGTGTGCTAGATTATATTTTCACATTATGTTGGAAAATATTTGTCAGTGGAATATAATACCAGTGCCATGTTTATCTATAAAGATATAGAACCTATGCATATTCGTTATAATTCATTACTGGTTAATTTCCTGCGAGGGCTCATATATCGTATTTAATCATATCATTTTAGGCGTAAATGTTCCGTGGCATTGGTCGGTCATGAAGGAAATATTTAATTCGTATGATATACGATAAAGAAGAAACATGCGAGTGTAAATATATCTTTATCCCGTACCATTCTTAAAATAATGGATGTCTGCATAGTAAATTTCAAATTATGTAACTTTCGATACTTCGTATGAATACAGTATCTGAGGGAACCTGTCGGTTTATCATATACTTTCTCTACATGATCGCCGGTACCTCGGATACCAATATCTAATCAACATGGTAATCAACATCACGTTCATGTTTCTCGGATCGTAATATTAAGTTTATGGATGTGTTCTCTGCATTTTAAATTTTAAACAAATAACAGAACACGGGAAAATTCAAACTTTCCTTTAATATTTTCCAGCTTTCATCACCGGCTTTTAATAGCGCTGTGGGAGGAAGTCTAAGAATAAATAAAGGAACACTGCCATGAAGTGATGTTCCCTTATTTGTTTCCCTCAGTATAATAATAAACATTAGCGTTCCTGGATTATATTCTGTATGGTTGTTTAGTCTCCAGAATTTCACCATGATCTGTCGGCTGAAGCAGGATTAAATATACCAATCCGTCTATGTACTCGGCCCGTGTCAAGGGTTAGTGAGTGGGTGAGGTTTAACACCGTATTGAATTGCATACCATTCTCTCACGGCGAGGCAGTTTTGATTTGGGAGCACGGCTTGATGTTTGGTCGTGTGGTTATTAAGCGACCATCCATTAAATGTATATCCGTATCAAACTTTTGTAACATATGCGAACAAGCCAGGAAAAATAATCAGGGATTCGAACCCAAGACATTACAATTCTCATTAAGCAGTGACTCATATCTCATATTTTAACATGAAAGTTGGACCGATTAATGTCTGACTGGGGTATTTGAGAAACAAATCAGTTTCATAGGATGAACAGAGAACTGTCAATCAATCAGTTAGATGTTCCTGTACTATATATAGGATGAACAGAGAACTGTCAATCAATCAGTTAGATGTTCCTGTACTATATATAGGATGAACAGAGAACTGTCAATCAATCAGTTAGATGTTCCTGTACTCATACATAGGATGAACAGAGAACTGTCAATCAATCAGTTAGATGTTCCTGTACTATATATAGGATGAACAGAGAACTGTCAATCAATCAGTTAGATGTTCCTGTACTATATATAGGATGAACAGAGAACTGTCAATCAATCAGTTAGATGTTCCTGTACTATATATAGGATGAACAGAGAACTGTCAATCAATCAGTTAGATGTTCCTGTACTATACATAGGATGAACAGAGAACTGTCAATCAATCAGTTAGATGTTCCTGTACTATATATAGGATGAACAGAGAACTACCAATCAATCAGTTAGATGTTCCTGTACTATATATAGGATGAACAGAGAACTGTCAATCAATCAGTTAGATGTTCCTGTACTATATATAGGATGAACAGAGAACTACCAATCAATCAGTTAGATGTTCCTGTACTATATATAGGATGAACAGAGAACTGTCAATCAATCAGTTAGATGTTCCTGTACTATATATAGGATGAGCAGAGAAAGACCAATCAGTTAGATGTTCCTGTACTATATATAGGATGAACAGAGAACTGTCAATCAATCAGTTAGATGTTCCTGTACTATATATAGGATGAACAGAGAACTGTCAATCAATCAGTTAGATGTTCCTGTACTATATATAGGATGAACAGAGAAAGACCAATCAGTTAGATGTTCCTGTACTATATATAGGATGAACAGAGAACTACCAATCAATCAGTTAGATGTTCCTGTACTATATATAGGATGAACAGAGAACTGTCAATCAATCAGTTAGATGTTCCTGTACTATATATAGGATGAACAGAGAACTGTCAATCAATCAGTTAGATGTTCCTGTACTATATATAGGATGAACAGAGAACTGTCAATCAATCAGTTAGATGTTCCTGTACTATATATAGGATGAACAGAGAAAGACCAATCAGTTAGATGTTCCTGTATTATATATAGGATGAACAGAAAACTGTCAATCAATCAGTTAGATGTTCCTGTACTATATATATAGGATGAACAGAGAACTGTCAATCAATCAGTTAGATGTTCCTGTACTATATATAGGATGAACAGAGAAAACACCAATCAGTTAGATGTTCCTGTACTATATATAGGATGAACAGAGAACTGTCAATCAATCAGTTAGATGTTCCTGTACTATATATAGGATGAACAGAGAACTGTCAATCCGTTAGATGTTCCTGTACTATATATAGGATGAGCAGAGAACTGTCAATCAATCAGTTAGATGTTCCTGTACTATATATAGGATGAACAGAGAACTGTCAATCCATCAGTTAGATGTTCCTGTACTATATATAGGATGAACAGAGAACTGTCAATCAGTTAGATGTTCCTGTACTATATATAGGATGAGCAGAGAAAGACCAATCAGTTAGATGTTCCTGTACTATATATAGGATGAGCAGAGAAAGACCAATCAGTTAGATGTTCCTGTACTATATATAGGATGAGCAGAGAACTGTCAATCAATCAGTTAGATGTTCCTGTACTATATATATAGGATGAACAGAGAACTGTCAATCAATCAGTTAGATGTTCCTGTACTATATATAGGATGAACAGAGAACTGTCAATCAATCAGTTAGATGTTCCTGTACTATATATAGGATGAACAGAGAACTGTCAATCAATCAGTTAGATGTTCCTGTACTATATATAGGATGAACAGAGAACTGTCAATCAATCAGTTAGATGTTCCTGTACTATATATAGGATGAACAGAGAACTGTTAATCAATCAGTTGGATGTTCCTGTACTATATATAGGATGAACAGAGAACTGTTAATCAATCAGTTAGATGTTCCTGTACTATATATAGGATGAACAGAGAACTACCAATCAGTTAGATGTTCCTGTACTATATATAGGATGAACAGAGAGAACTGTCAATCAATCAGTTAGATGTTCCTGTACTATATATAGGATGAACAGAGAACTGTCAATCAATCAGTTAGATGTTCCTGTACTATATATAGGATGAGCAGAGAAAGACCAATCAGTTAGATGTTCCTGTACTATATATAGGATGAACAGAGAACTGTCAATCAATCAGTTAGATGTTCCTGTACTATATATAGGGATGAACAGAGAACTGTCAATCAATCAGTTAGATGTTCCTGTCCTTTACACAGGATGAACAGAAAACTGTCAATCCGTTAGATGTTCCTGTACTATATATAGGATGAACAGAAAACTGTCAATCAGTTAGATGTTCCTGTACTATATATAGGATGAACAGAGAACTGTCAATCAATCATTTAGATGTTCCTGTACTATATATAGGATGAGCAGAGAGAAAGACCAATCAGTTAGATGTTCCTGTACTATATATAGGATGAACAGAGAACTGTCAATCAATCAGTTAGATGTTCCTGTACTATATATAGGATGAACAGAGAACTGTCAATCAATCAGTTAGATGTTCCTGTACTATATATAGGATGAACAGAGAACTGTCAATCAATCAGTTAGATGTTCCTGTACTATATATAGGATGAACAGAGAACTACCAATCAATCAGTTAGATGTTCCTGTACTATATATAGGATGAACAGAGAACTGTCAATCAATCAGTTAGATGTTCCTGTACTATATATAGGATGAACAGAGAACTGTCAATCAATCAGTTAGATGTTCCTGTACTATATATAGGATGAACAGAGAACTGTCAATCAATCAGTTAGATGTTCCTGTACTATATATAGGATGAGCAGAGAAAGACCAATCAGTTAGATGTTCCTGTACTATATATAGGATGAACAGAGAACTGTCAATCAATCAGTTAGATGTTCCTGTACTATATATAGGATGAACAGAGAACTGTCAATCAATCAGTTAGATGTTCCTGTCCTTTACACAGGATGAACAGAAAACTGTCAATCCGTTAGATGTTCCTGTACTATATATAGGGATGAACAGAAAACTGTCAATCAGTTAGATGTTCCTGTACTATATATAGGATGAACAGAGAACTGTCAATCAATCAGTTAGATGTTCCTGTACTATATATAGGATGAGCAGAGAAAGACCAATCAGTTAGATGTTCCTGTACTATATATAGATGAACAGAGAACTGTCAATCAATCAGTTAGATGTTCCTGTACTATATATAGGATGAACAGAGAACTGTCAATCAATCAGTTAGATGTTCCTGTCCTTTACACAGGATGAACAGAAAACTGTCAATCCGTTAGATGTTCCTGTACTATATATAGGATGAACAGAGAACTGTCAATCAGTTAGTACTATATATAGGATGAACAGAGAACTGTCAATCAATCAGTTAGATGTTCCTGTAATATACATAGGACGATCGGAGAACTATCAATCTATTTATGTTCAATCAAGGTACTTCATGCATCTGTTGTCAAATCTGCAGCCCTAATCTATCTGCGTGTATCTTTCTGAACAATGTGCAATGACGATAGAATGACTTAGTTGACACTGACGACATCATCTTTACTTCTCCATTCCGACGTTGTATTGTAACAGCGGAAGATACTGGATGACAACCCTGTAAAGCAGGAGGTAGGATTGACAGCACCAGAGAATATTCAGAATATATATTATTGTGATGCAAACAACAAAACTGACGACGATATTGATTATGATGATGATGACGACGACGACGGCGATGACAATTACGTGATTACACCATTAAATTATAAATTATTATATCATACAAAATAACAATGATGCTTATTATGATGATGATGGGATCATAAAAAGGACCAACCAAAAGCACCAAGAAACAAAACAATATTCAGATGTGAACTGTAGAAATATATATTAAACTGAACGGTAAAAGAAACTGCACATTTGAAATTAATATTACTAAAAATTAGTAGTACGGATTTAAACACAATATTTCTTTACCGAGACTGTACACATGTTTCAGAGGAAACGGCCTAATAAAATTAAAATCACGTGTATCCACTTGGGTGAGCCCGTATTGCCGTTGGAAACGTGTTGAAGCAGTTCAGGCAGTTCGGATATTAGGCACACACAGAACATGGAGACCACGTGTCACCACAGCCGGCCTCCCACACCTCGTGTTGTAGTGAACTTCCTAGAAGCAAACAACGTCACCGTCTTACCGTGACGTCGTGCTCTCCGGATTTGTCACCGAAAGAGTATCTTTGGGACATCGTGGACAGGCGAGTGAGATTTCAACAATATCCTCCAGCCAACGCACAAGAGTTTACACAAGCTCTACGGAACAAATGGAACCGCTTGCCACTTGGCCACATCACCCATCAGACGTTTGACGTTAACGGTTCGAAGTGACGTTTATGCAAATGTGGAAGCACGGGATAGCCACTCAAGGTATGAAAGTGACAAATGTGGGTACTGGAACCACTTTCTGGCTTTCAATGAATTATTATGAATGTCGGACAGCTGACATTTACACCCCACGTGACTGGATGTCTGTGGAGCATTATTTGACGTCGAACGCCAATTTCTAGTTGGTTAGAATTTAATGGAAGTGTCGATTTAGGCAATATACTGGACCTCAAATATTGGCTGTTTTTATAATTAGTGTCATTGTAGTCTGGTGCAGAGTTTCTTTTACCGTTCAGTATATTCAACATCAGACCCACCTGTACATTATACTTTTGTACTAACCACTATTTAGACAGTGGAATCGGAATCACTATTCAGACAGTAACTATGGCCATATTTCACTACAGTTGTATTCACCTGTTCCCTTCAATGTTCATGGCATTCTTGAGGAAGTCGATGATAGGCTGGGTGTAGGCTGGGTTCCTGTCTTTGTCAAACACGTCTATTGAGTGGATCTGAAGGAAGCAAGTCGGGGCCCTGCTCTCCAGGCGGTACATGCGCAGTCCGCTTTGTATCATCGTGGTCACTCTCTAAAACATTAATGTCTGTAATTACGTAAAATAGTAAAACTTACATTTGGTTATAAAACCTCTTCTTATTATTGCACAAAATGTATAGTTGGCGAGACGCTTTGTGGGTCAATATGACGTCAACTATGACTCATGGTGAGTCATTACTATTATGGGCTTAGCACCTAATAATGGCATTTAGATGTTGGCATCATGAAGAAAGATGAATATATACTCTTCAAAAAAAATTAAGCAACATCAATTTTTGGTTTCATTACATTTTCATTTATTGAAATTTCAAATCATGGAATGATGAAATAGAAAGGTGAAACATACATACACACAATTAACAAAATGATATGAAATGGTATTGAGCAATAATAGACTTAGAAATCATCAAAAGCATGTACCCGTGAAACAGTCGTGTAAAATGTGCTGCATTGATGGAGCAAAATGTTAACATTAAGGTTCAAGTCAGTTTTGGACAGTAAAGCAGTGTTCAGTAACGCTTATGACCAGAACTTACGTAATGTTCATAAGACCCCATTTAGAATATGCGTGTGAAGTATGGGATGGATGGGTGTATTCCCATACTGCCTACAGTTCCAAAGTGCCTACAGGTTAAAACAACATGATAGGGTCCAGTGATCAGGAAGTGAATACACCGCTCTGACCTGTTCTACCTCTGCTAAAATGAACTTGACCAGTTACTTGGTTAATGAACTGACCTGTTCTATGGTGTCTTCCCTAGGTATGTGCTCAGTATCAAGCAAATAAATTAGAACAACTGCAATTAGAAGCAGCAAGAATTGTAACAGGTTTACTTAAATATACTCATCATGAGGATCTGTATTATGAAACTTGTTGGGAATCTTTAGCAGAACGTAGGAGAAAGCGCAGACTTCGTCTTTTTTACCAGATACAGAATAATATGGCACAATCGTACCTTATTGATCTTGTTCCTGGGAACGTAGCATCTAAATGTAACTATAATCTTCGCAACTCTGATGATGTCTCACTTCTTTTCTCACGATTAACTTTTCGTATGATTCGTATTTTCCATCCACTATTAGAATGTGGAATGAACTTCCAGTTGAAGTGAGTATAAGCGTGTCATTGAATTCTTTTAAATCTAATATTGTTATAAAACATAAAACTGCTCCTCAATACTTTGATTTTGGACCGAGAATCACTAACATCATCCTTACAAAACTACGTTACATGTGTAGTCAATTGAATTATGATCTATTCCGTGCTGGTTTTAAGAGATAACCCAAGTTGTTCTTCTTTTGAGTGGCATTTAGAAGTTGGGAAGTACAATATAGAACAAACTTTATGGATAACAACTTTTATTCAGGAGGTGCGACGTTTCGATACAGATTCAAGCAACGGTACAAGAATCTGTATCGAAACGTTGCACCTCACGAATAAAAAGAAGTTGTTATCCATAAAGTTTGTTCCAAGTTGTTCTTGTGGAAAAGTTTGTAAAAAATCCTTATCATTACATATTTGACTGTCAATTATATACGGTACAGAGAACTACCATGATGACTAATTTACGCAGTGTTACCAATGTGAATATAACCTATGAGTTACTATTACATGGCAATGCAGATCTGACTGTTCACATAAATCAAATCATATCAAATCAGCGTCCACTTTATGCTCAAGTCTTTGGTGTTAAAATTGACACATTTTGCAGGGTACATTGAGTATGCTCTTACTGTGTCCTACTCCTCCTCCTCAAAAAGTGCTCTATATGTAATGTATGGGTTCCTTTGATACGATAAACACTAGGACTTCACAGAGAAGGGCAATGAAACTGAGGTTTCCCTGTATGTTGATAAAGAAATACACCTTGCTGATCTGATGAGATATAGTCGGTTATATTGAGTGTTTTTAACTGAATATTTAAAACAAGCCATAAGGAGGCCCCGTGTGGAATCAAATCAGCAAAAATATGTATTGCTACTGAACACAAAATAGTACATACATCATATTTAGTCATTTAATACTTGATATGTGTAGTACGAAATAAAAACGAAATTATGTTGCTGGCAATAGTTTGAAAACATATACTCATAGAAACAAATAAGGGAACACATGAAAGTATGTTCCCTTATTCATTTCCAGAATTTCACCCACAGTGCAATGCATACCTTGTGAAGAACCTGGAAAAGAATAAAGGAACGCTTGTACTTTCATGTGTTCCCTTATTTGTTCCAATGAGTATATATAAACGAAAAGGCAGAGTCAATTCTAGTCCATGTGTACATCGCCAACTGACCTCAATGGGCTTGTTGAGAACCTCGGCGACATTCTTCGCCAGAGTGACCTCCAGATCTGCAGGGATATCCTCGTCCTTCAAGTTGGTGTATAACAGGCACAGCGGCATGGCGGGATAGAACGACTGGCACAAGATCCGCTGGGTTAGGGCTCACTACAAATGACAAGAGTGAGTGAGTGAGTATGGTTTTATGCCGCTTTTAGCAATACTCCAGCAATATCACAGGGGCTGACACCGGAAATGGGCTTCACACATTGTACCAATGTGGGAAATCGAAACCGACTCTTCGGCGACACGAGCGAACGCTTTAACCACTAGGCTACCCCATCGCCCCACAAATGACAAGACCGTCGTCAGACATCACCTACATCAGTGATTATTTCGGCAACTAAATATCCGAAACTGTTGCAATAATCAGCGCCAACACATTGGTTATATCTTCACATTTGATAGACGCCCTGGACCCGTACAATGGCAAAGATAGTTTCTCATGGGGTCGATCTGCGGTATTAGAGCTTTGTAAAGTGCACCTGGGATATTGCTGCTCAAAAGCTGCAGCTGTCATAGAGAGGGTCAGCCTGAGGATCTGTACCCAACTGACACCAGCTTATCTGAGCATTCGCAATAATGAGTGAGTTGATTAAAACAACCAATGTTTAATCTACAATAATCTAATATCCCTATATATGAAAATATTAGTCGTCGATGGTCGATATTGCTTTTGTATATACATTCATAAATACGAAAATAAAGAATATTCAGCGAATTAATGAAACAACTCAATGATCACATTTATAGTTACACTGCATATTTTGTGTAAATGATTTTGTAACCTTTACTGAAATAACTGGTAGGCCTGCACTCCATAATGCCGAGATATCGATTGACACGACGTAAGTGGCAGAATCGTTACCGACAGTATCGTGCCAGTGTCCGCAGTCATGGGTTCGAATCCAGGCCTGAACCTGATTCTGAACCTTCTCATGTCAGCATCAACTTCGAATATCTTCCACCCGTAAAGATCCGGGTTAGAATTGATCTTCAGTAACCCATTCTTGTTGTAAGGGGCAACTAACGTGATCAGGCGGTCAGGCTCGCTGACTTGGTTGACACATGTCATTGTATCCCAATTGTGTAGATCGATGCTCATGCCGTTGATCACTGGATTGTCAGCTGGAATATTGCTGAGTGCGGCGTTAAACAACCAAGCAACAAACCTCGTCTTTGTGGTCGTGGTTTAGTGATAAACGAGATGTAACAGCAGGGCTGAATCTATGGGAAATAATAAGTGTAAGTTTTATTACTCACTCACTCGAATATCTTCCCACCTGCGGCAGCTGTAGCATAACTCCACTGATCGTTTATACTTCAATAAACACTTGGATATGAATACATTATATCTACTTATCGTTATTATTATTTATTAGCAGTTTGAACAGAAGCATATCAACATGATTAATGCGTCGTACTGTACCGGGATTCACAGGGGCTTGTAACGCTAAAAACTGCCATCAAAGTATATACTGTCACTAGCGGGATCTTAGTAAAAGGATCCTTGATACCTTGATCGCAGTTTTGAGCGTTACAAGCCCCTGTGCAGAGATTGTTTCTGTATATCTGTCCTTGTAGAGTGAGTGGGTGTGTAAGGTTTAACGCCGCTTTGGACAGAAATTCAATTACTAGTAACATGTCAGTTTCATTTCGAAAGAACCCCTAATGGCGGTTTAGTGAGCGCGCGCGCGCACGCACGCACATACGCGCACGCACACACGCGCTGGCATATACATACACACTCACTCACACACATACATACACAGACATACATACAGACATACATACATACATACATACATACATACATACATACATACATGCATGCATGCATGCATGCATGCAGGCAGGCAGGCAGGCAGGCAGGCAGGCAGGCAGGCAGACAGACAGACAGACAGACAGACAGACAGACACATACATACAGACAGGCAGCAGGCAGACAGACAGGCAAGCAGACAGACAGACAGACAGACATACACGCAAACACGCACGTACGCACACTAACAATTGAATAACATAATACCGAAACACACCTGTACATAATGCAGCTACGATATTCTTCAAAATGAAGGGTTAAAACCTGAATTCACCTCACGTACAGATAATGCGTTACGGTACACTATTAGAATGAACTTTGACTATATACATACATTGACAGACACAAGGCCCACAACACTCATTCAGTCCCTAACAAAAATAACGGATGCTATCGATATCCATTCACGGAATTGCTTTGACGTAAAAATCTTTCGTTGTACTTTTATCTGGCGAACCTGACTGTAACCTTGAACCCAGGTCGTTCAGATAAATATGGTGTTACTGATAACACATAACCCTGATAACGGGATAACACAAACAGGATAACACAAACAGGATAACACAAACAGGACAATACAAACAGGACAATACAAACAGGACAATACAAACAGGATAACACAAACAGGACAATACAAACAGGACAATACAAACAGGACAATACAAACAGGATAACACAAACAGGACAATACAAACAGGACAATACAAACAGGACAATACAAACAAACAGGATAACACAAAACAGGACAATACAAACAGGACAATACAAACAGGACAATACAAACAGGACAATACAAACAGGACAATACAAACAGGACAACACAAACAGGACAATACAAACAGGACAATACAAACAGGACAATACAAACACGTTAGCGGCGTACATCTGCATTCCACAGATTGTTACACACAAAACTCACGTCTTACATTGAGTTAACTACGGTTAAAACGGACTCAAAAGAGACTGCTATTTTCAGTTCCTTTAATCGTAGTTCGATATACGCAGTTCGTCTAAAATATACAGAAAGTGTCCGGGACAAAAACACACAGTTCGACATAAGCGTGTTCGTTATAAACATAGCTCGATATAAACGCAGTTACTGTAAGTTATATGATGACCATTACCTAACCTACATTATTACCATAAGAACCAATTCAGTTGAAACCAGGATCAGTAAAGGTCACTAGCCTTGTATATCTTCTCGCGACTGAAATAGATCAGGCGATCGAACTTTTTGTCTGATGCAATGTCACCGTGTCCTGTAGGCGAGGATCCTCGCCCTTTGTCATGGACCCTGGTTTGCCAGTTTCAAACTGGACTATCAAACGCCCTGTAATGCAGCTGGGCTATTGCAAACTAAGCCGTCAAACAACATTCGCTCATTAGCTACGACGGACGAAATAGCTGAGTCAGTGCTGATACGGTGGCCGAATCGACTTGGAAAAACCTCTGTATACTCGTGTTAAAAATAGGATGTATATTGGCTTACCTTCAGCTGTGCGTCTCGTGGCTGGGAGGGCTGGTTTAAAACTAAGCGAACAATCTAAGTGATCTCAGTGTTACTGGTGTAGACTATCGACCTGTCTGCCTGATAGTTCACAACATAGAGGTGTTTGACTGCTGTTGACTCCAGAGCTCTCTGCCTAACAGATTACAACATGTCGGTCAAGGTCAAGGTCATGAAAACGTCAAAACCGGAGACTTTATGTTAGATGACTTATACGGTTACCCACTGTTCGCATCCCAACGTCACAGCAAGTTATGACTATTTGATGTAGCGTGAAAGAGCAAGACTGAGCAAGTCTAGAATCTCTCCCACAGCGGTTGTGCATATCTATACTGGTCTGACTGTGAGCTTACATAAAGGCAAACATACTGTGTGGATTTGAGCTGACATTTTTAAAGAATTATTCATGAAGTCTGACAGAGCATATATCGTTCCATATGTGTCGAATATCCTTACTTGTGGTGTGTATTCGTCGTGTATATATTGTACTTGTGAAGTATAGGTTGTATAGTCAGGTAAAGTTGTACACCCCATGTTAATTGTATTCGTCATGAATATGCTGTGTTCATCATTTTTATGTTGTATATGCTGTAGTAATGGCGTGTATGTTCTATAGTCAGATACATTTTGACTTCCATGCGTAATCCCAGTGTTTTGTATAGTCAGGTAAAGTTGTACACCCCGTGTTTGATTGTATTTGTCATGAATATGCTGTCTTCGTCATTTATATGTTGTATATATTGTATCGTCATATACAGTTTACTCCCAAGCTTATTATTGTATATCTCGATCATATATTGTATTTGTGATGCATGTTTCGCATTGTCATATACGAGTTGTACTTCCACATGTCTATATTGTATTCGTAGTGTACATATTGTACTTGCATTGGTTGACGCATGTCATCGTATAACAATTGCGTAGATCGATGCTGATGCAGTTGATCACTGGATTGTCTGGTCCAGACTCGACTATTTACAGACCGCCGCCATATAGCTGGAATATTGCTGGAGTGTGGCGTAAAACAAAAACAAATCTGCTCTATTGTTAGATAGGTTGAACCAACCAACAAACAAAATGTATGGTGTATACATACACTCGCGTAACCTTGATTCGTGGATATAATAAGGGAAGTGCGGCGAAGTTCATATTTTTTAAATGATTTTCATTTTGTATACGCACTGATTATCATTTTATTCACTGATTCAGCAAATTGAAAATGCCAATATTCCACTCGTGAATGAAACGTTTGTTACGGAAGCCATTTACAATCATCACCCATTCATTGTGCCCATAAAATGAGACGTCACCTTGTTTCGTGGATAACATCATTGGTTACTTTATACCACTATGTACGACATCCCACTGCAGTTAATATTGACACCAAGGAAAGCAGACAACGGGGAAGTGAGAAGGTTGGAGCTAACGGTATCTTTTTACTTGACATTTTGTAAAAATAAAATTTGGTAATGGTAGTATTTGTGACCTGGGGCTATTTATCCTCAGTGCTGGATAAAATATTTTTAGTAATGTACTGCGTGCAATGCTGCAAGAGATTCGAACTTTTGTCAGCGAGGCGTGGCATTGTATTTACATCAAAAGTACCGCTTCGTGACGTCAGTCGAGACTTAATTTACGAGCTAGCATGATAATTTCTGCCATCCACAGAATCAAGGTTATCCACGAATTTAGGTTACGGTTCTGTAATATACTGCATTTGTAATGTACAGTTGTACTCATTTATGTTGAGGCCGCAATTGTCATGTTCAACTTGTGTTCGTCGTAATGTACATGTATGTGTTGTATAGTCCAGGTAGAGTTGTACACCCAATATAGACATTGCATATCTCAAGCTTATGTTGTTTGGGTATTGTATACGTACTACTCATGATGTGCCCCAGTTGCGCCGACCCTGGTTACAGTGACCCAGCTAAGGACCACGAGAGCCAGAATGATGGAAAGATACGTGGAAACGTAAGATGAGAGTCAGTACTGTAAACCCGATATAGAGGTACAACTGTGAGAACATAGGGACACATGGCGAATCATATGGTTCTCGCAATCTACTAATGATTGAGTCGAGTTTATGCCGCTGTTAGTATTCCCCAGCAATATAACTGCAGGATTCTCCTAAGATTGGGCTTCACACATTCATCCATGTGGAGAATGGCACCGTGGCCCTCGGAGTTCGATTAGCCGGACCACTAGGGCTGCCCTACTGCCCCTCAACTACTAGCTCCTACCAGGGGCGCTTCGGTAGCCTAAGTGCATAAAGCTGCTGGCTCGTCACGCCGAAGATCCGGCTCCGATCTCCCACATGGGCACAATGCGTGAAGCCCATTTCTGATGTCTCCCGCCGTGATATTGCTGGGATATTGCTAAAAGTGGCGTGTAAAACCACACTCACTCACTCACTAGCTCCTACCTTACTGTTCCGCACCTCGTCGTCTCGGTTTCAAGCTTTTAGACGTAGCTACACTATTACAACGTACTCCTGCATACAGTGTAACCAGATTTCGTATAACATCTCAACTAGAGCTGATTGTCGTTCCAGCAAAATGTATTACACAAAAACGCAAGTGGCTATGATGTGTGAGCGTGCCGCTATTATAAGTTTGCTACTTTTTACGTAAATTCAGTAGAAAACATGACTTTTGTTTTATTCATTTTCCAGGTGCATGTGAAGTATATGTTGTTATCCACGCTTGACACTGACATTATATTAAAATGTCCGCCCAATTGTGACTCGCCAGAAGATCCGGGTACGAACGTGCCTTCAGTAATCCATGCTTGTCGTACGAGGCGACAAACGGATCGGATGGTCAGGCTCTCTTGACGGTTGACATAATTATGTCATCGGTTCCCCAATTGCTCAGATCGATGCCTCATGCTTTTGATCATCACCGGCTTGTTTGGTCTGTTCGATTATTTTACAAATCGCCGCCACATAGCTGGAATTTCATTGCTGAGTGCGAAGCGCAAACCAAACATACTCACTCACTCTGCCCAACCGTGTTTATCACCGTTATCACTGTTTATCACAATTTTCAATTAAATCACCCCTCACACACGCACACATTTTCACAAGAATACTTTTACCTCAATACAACGATGAAGCTAAAAGATGATGCAGTGTCGTGCGTTAGTTAAGCACGGAACTGCATGCCTGTAACTTCAGCATATACATATCCACATGTGTCCTTGACCATTTGACCTTGACGTAGTAGTAGTCCGTGGTAACGTACGGTCTGGTAGTAACGTTGGCAACGCCTTTAGTACGGCTTTCTTTTCTCCAGCCCCACGTCGTGAAGATGGATTGGCAGGTACTGGATAACAATTCTGAAAATACAGTGAAAAATTGTCAGTTCAAGTTCTGGCGCCCTTCGCCTGATCTCAGCCTTCCGATTTCGAAACATGAATAAAAGGCGTCTGATTCGGTGGCAATCGATGGCTATCCATGCATTTATTTTGAACCAAAAAATATTAGGCCAGCATCCATCAACGTACCTAATATTTCATAATTGGCTGATAACCGATTGGTCTGGCTTTTCCTGCAGTGTGCATGTCATTGATTTTCTACTGTAGTTCACAGTTCTCTCTTTGTGAAAGTTGGTGCGTACCATGCAGGTTAAAGCGTTTACTGGTCACGTCGAGTACCTGGGTCTGACTTCTTACAATGTATAATGTGAGAGAAGCCCATTTCTGGCTGGTCCCTCACCACGTGATGCTGATGAAGATTTCTTAAAAGCGGAGTAAAACCCAACTCACACCTGGTAAAACTTGAAGAATATTTTATGTCATGAACTTTACATGTCTCCTGACATGTATACATACATGTTTTGACAGTGTGCCGGATTGTATTAAAAGCCGCAGGTTGGCAGGTTTCACTGTGTTACGAGATATAGGTGTATTTCTCATCCATTTTCAAACATACTGATGATACGTTCTGATCAAGTAGTACCAGTGTCACGAGAGCCTGTTATTTGATCAGGAATTAATTAAGATTGAAGAAATCAATTAGAAAATACTCACCGTTACGTGAATTAAACACTACCTACAACGGATTATGTGGCTCGAATCAAAACATACTGAGAATCCAATTGAAGTTGTTTTGTGTAATCACGTGACTAGCATGTGATTGTTTAGTTGTTCCTACATTGGTGGACATTAATACGAAATCTACTTTGTTTTGTTTTCTTTTCATATGATATGTGATGACATGCTCCTTGTCGGATGTCTCGAAGTTCTGATAACTCGATATTTTTCTGCCCCATGAATATCGAGACATACATGAAATCTAATTTTGTTTTATACTTTCTTCATAGTGATATCGAATGACATGCCCTGGTCGGATGTCTCGAAGTTCGATAACTCGATATTAGTTTTCTTGGTCCCATGAATATCGAAAGAGACAACGGTGCCCGACCGTAAAATATGTGTGTGTGTGTGCGTTTATCGCCCCGCCCGTAACATCTGAGCAATATGACGGTGACTTTTAAACCTGACCAGACGATCCGGTGATTGATCAACAAACTACGAAAAATATTTGGACACGATGCCATGCATCCACAACGTTACTGAGAGAAACTACCCGATCAACTTTACTCGTCTATTACGACAAAAAGAAAAACAAATTACAAAGAAAACATATCGTATAATGCAACTTCAGATTCTTGGTGCGATATGAACAAAGCCCATTTGACACAGTAATATATAGAAAGCGATGAACAGTATTCTTTATATGTAAATATGGTCATTTCGATGTTATTACCGCTTCTGTACATGCTGATATGCTATTGTTCAAAGTACCAAACCCTGCTAACTATCATGATGTACAGTTAAATACATACCTATTTCCTTCAATGTTCAAGGCATTCTTGGAGGGAAGTCTATGATAGGCTGGGTGTAGGCTGGGTTCCTGTCTTTTTGTCAAACACGTCTATTGAGTGGATTTGAAGGAAGCAAGTGGGGGCCCTGTTCTCCAGTAGCGGTACATGCGCAGTCCGGTCTGTACAGTGACTGTCATTTTCTGAAATCGTATATTAGGATGTTAAATACCAGCTGAGATTCAACCATACTTCTCTATAACGGTTAATTTCTCACCTTAGTAACTAACTCTATGTGACTAAACACACGTTATGTTTCCTTTGTCTTTTTTCCCGACTT